TCTGGCCCCCACAAAAAAACAACAAAAAAACCCAAAACTATTTTGGTGTCATTGCAAAACTTCTTGCATCCTCGAAGGCAGACACTGGGTCTTTCATGTTCTCTGTGCTGACTCTGGACCACCATGCCAGGCACACCATTGCAATAAATGTTTATTTCTGATTAAGCATCTCTTAAGACCCAGTCAACCCTGCCTTCAAACATGCACCCTTTTATTTTTCAGCCTAGAGACAATGGGTGTTTTCTCACTAGGTTTTATAATAGAGGAGCAAAATACTCCTGAAAAAGTACAAATGAGCAACTGTAAGATAAAGATGTGTGCCTCAGCATGTCCTCTTGGCATTAATTACATTTTGTATACAAGTATTGGTCCTTGGCTTAAGCTCAGTTTGGTGTTTGCTAAACCTTACTAGAATCAGTTGTTCTCATCTACAGTCTGGTGCGGCATGAATAAATTTCATTTCTAAATAATGGGGTGGGGGCTATTTTAAGCCCCAAATCTCTATCCCTTCCTGTACAAAGAGTAACACTAAATAGATGGTTTTACTCTACTCTCTCCCAATTACTATGGGATGGAAATCCTAATGAAAAACAAGGAAGTCTTCCTTTACCATTAGTCTCCATCACTGTGCTGTAGTCTAGATTTGGAGTGTTTCCCAAAGGGCCACATGTTAAAGGTTGGTCTCCAGGATGCCACTCTTGGGAGGTGGTAGAAACTTTAAGAGGAGGCGCCTGGGGAGAGGTCTCTAGGTATTCAAGGGTGTGCCCTTGCCTTTGAAGAGGATTGTGGGACCCCAAGCCCCCCTTCTGTTCTCTCTTGCTTCCTGGCTCTGGGAGGAGTAGTTTTGTGACCATATACACTCGGTCACAGTGCGTTGCCTCACCATAGCACAAAGCAATGGAGCCAACAGTAATGGACTGGAATTTCCAAAGCTGTGAGCCCAAATAAGCCTTTTCTCTTTATGAGTTGATTATCTCAGGTATTTTGTTATAGTGTTAGCTGGCAAACATGCACTCATGCACTCACATCCTTAAAGGGCAACAATGGGCTACCAAAAAGCACCTCCTTCATATTCCTTCTTTTTTTTTTTTTGCTTTATTATTCATATTCCTTCTTTACAGAATATTTTCTTTAAAATAAAAACCAAAAAAACCCCAGAGACCTGCCAGTACCTCTTCCTAGGAATGTTTGCAGAGTAATAGACAACGCTGTCCTCAGCACTAAGCATGCAACCTCGGCAAGTCAAAGGGCCTATCCTGTGGCCTGCCGTGTCCCAGGGAAATATGATCATTACACCTGGGGCCCCGGAGAGGACAAGGATTAATGCAGAAGGAGTTTCTGTTGGGAGCACTTGTGCTCTGTATAGTTAGTTCTCCATCTCAGGCCACCCTCTTCCTGGTTAGCTATCACCTTCCACCTCATATCCATTAGGATAAAAAAGTAAACCAAAATAATACAAAAACCAGAATATAGCAAGTGTTAGTGACATTGTGGAGAAATTGGAGCTCCTGTACATACTGTTGGAGATTTAAAATGGTGCAGTCAATACAGAAAATAGTATGGTGGTTCATCTAAAAACTAAAAGTACAGTTACCAAGGAATCAGCAATCCTTCTGGATATATAACCAAGATAATTGAAAGGAGGGCCCAAAGAGGTATTTGTACACCCACGTTCATAGCAGCATTGTTCAAAATGTAGAAACAACCAAGTGTCCATAGACAAATAAATGGACAAAAAAAATGTAGCATGCATAAATATATATATATATACACATATATATGTATATATATATACGGATACATACATACATACAGTGGAGAATTATTCGGCCTTAAAAAAGAAGTTCTGATACTTGCTAAAACATTTCGCTAAGTGAAGTAAGACAGCCACAAAAAGGATAAATACTGTGTGATTCCACTAAAGTAGTAAAATCCATTCACACAGAAAGTAGAATAGTGGTTGCCAGGGACTGGGATAGGGGGAACGGGAAGGTATTTTTTTAATGAGTACAGAGTTTCAGTCTGCAAGAGAAGAGTTCTGGAGATCCATGATAGCTGTGGTAGCATAGTAACAGGAATGTCCTTAGCATTACTAAGCTGTACACTAAACAATAGTGAGGATGGTAAGTTTTATGTGTATTTTTTCACAATTGAAGAAAGGGTTAAACGAAAATTTATCACTCATCCAGAGCAGACTTCCAGGGTCCTAAAACATGGTACATCACTACTGCTGCCTGTTCGTGCCCCTGACAAACACTAATTAATCATTCTAACATTTTTTCTTCCTGGGTCCAGATGCACCATCAAACCCTTTCTCCTGCTTTCTTGGACCACTCTACTTTTTGTGTGGAAGTTGTGCTTCCCCAGTTTCATTCCAACCTAAAGCCACAATTTCATACCTTTTGGTTCATCTGTCTTTCCACCTGAGTTGGAGTTAGCATCTTTTGTGGAATCCTTCAAGGTTCCATATTCCTTTTCCATCTTAGCAGCTTCCTCCTTGGTACTGTCTGCTTCCTCGTGACTCTTCTCCGATGGCACTGTAAACAGATTGTGCACTGTTGTTATAACACTATTTTCTGTCTTCTTCTTTTTTTTGCAGTACTGGGGTTTGAACTCAGGGCCTTGTGCTGGCTAGGCAGGCGCTCTGTCACTTAAGCCATGCCTCCAGCCTTTTTTGCATTGGTTATTTCCGAGATGGAATCTCACTTTTATGTCTGGGCTGGCCTGGATTGCAATTCTCTTATTTGTGCATCCCAAGTAGCCAGGATGACCAGATGTGGGCCTCCCCTGGTTGAGATGGACTCTTGCAAACTCCTGAGAAGCTAGGATTATAGGTTTGAGCTACCATGCCTAGCCTTATGTTCACTAAGTCTCTTTTTGTTTTGGTATTGGGGTTTGAACTCAGGGCTACACTCTAGCTAGGCAGGCACTCTATCACTTGAGACATACCCCCAGTTCTGTTATTAATTCTTAATGAAGAAATAGACTTTATTGAAGAGGTAAATTTGAGGTCAGATCATTTGTTTGAGCTGATCATTGAATAATGATCTACTCTTACTTCTACCTCACTTCATAGAAAAGGAAACAGGCCCAGAGAAGGAAGACACATAGTAAGGTCATCACTGAGTTAACAAAAAGCTGGGCCAAGTGTCACAGCTTTCCAGAACTGGTTCAGCACTCTCTCCCTTCACCACATGAGGCCTGTCATTAGAGGGTAGGTTACTATTGTAGATGAGTCTATGTTCCCCAGACTGGCCTTTAACTCCTGACCTCAAGCGCTCCTCAGAATAGTTTGAACTACAGGCATGCAGTGTGTATCACCAAGCCAGACTATTTGTCCCTTCTTCCTTCCCTCCCTTCCCCTTATGGAAGGTTAGTAAAAACTGCTTGAGGGCTGGGAAGCACTTGCCTAGCATTCATAAGGCCATGAGTTCAATCCCCAGCATCAAAAACAACCCCTGCTAGAAAACATCATTTTAAAGGGTTATATATTATTCCATCAAGAATATGGACATAATTTCTGTACTGGGGACAAATTAAAGCACAAGAAATTGCAACTTGCAATCATTTCTCTTTTTCGTGCACATACCTCCTTGAAAGAAGGCTTCTTTGCTCAGTTCAGTTCTTTAGTGTTTGCTGGGATAAGCAAGGTCAAGGGTGGAAATGCAGAACTGGGTATTTAGAGAAGGGGCAAAGCATACTATAGAGGGGCACAGGCCAGGCCAGGGAAGAGAGAAGACCTGGGAGGGGAGAGGAGAAGTAGGGAGAGTGAGTGGACAGGTGACCAGGGACAGCAGTCTGGAGAAGTGGTGATCTGGGGAGAGAAACACACTAATGGAGACTTTTAAGAAGGATTGCTGGGTTTTGTGAGGTAGCCACCTTTCCTTTCTTTTCCTATGAGCCGCCTCCTAACTCTTTGCTAAGGGTCTCCATACTGCTTGTGCAAGACTGGGGATGTGGCTCAGTGGTAGAGTTCTTGCCTAGCATGCATGAGGCTCTGGGTTTGATTCCTAACACTGCGGTGCTTTGGGGGGGGTCAGATTTCTGTGCTGCGATTGGCCACAAAATAGCCAAGGTTACATCTGCTTATTCGAACAGTTACATTTGAGGTTTTAAAACTGTTTTGAAAGCTGCAATTCTCATTATTATTCTCCACTCAAGACAGTTATTCTACTGAAAGCTAGAAAAAGTAGTTAAGTAAATCCTACCTGGAAAAAGCTTGTCTTTATTGTCAGTAGTATTTTTTTCTAGCTTGTTCTTGGTCTGGAGAGCAATTGTTTCGTCCAAGTTTTCTGGAGGGAGAGGGAAAGAAATAATTTCCTGAAAGATGATATCAAAGTTTTACTACAAATATTTAAATCTCATCAGAAATATCACACCAGCCATTCCAAAATATTATCACTTCCAGCAAGATGGTACAACCTACGTTTTATTTCTGAGAATCATTTCCTTAGGGAGGAAACTAGAGAGCTTCAAGTTCTACTTCCTTCTGGGTTAATTGCAGACTTCTTTCTACATCTATATGACCACTGGTAAAACACTTCCAGGGCTGACACCTAGAGTCAACACCTGTGGTTTTGACCTACACAACACCTAGTAGTTACTGCACCTTGATTTTCCCTGGGGGAGCCCTGCTCCTCCCCATCTCAGAACATTTGACTCCAGTGGTAGCTGAGTAACTCAAGCTTGAGTAAGCCATGACCTAGGGCTATAGTGATTGGTTGAAAGAGGATCCCATGAATCAATCTAGCCAATGAGATTCAATGTTAGGACTGCTGGGAGAAAGAGACTCTTTCTGCAGAGTTGGCTTCACTCAAAAGAAGGGAGAATAGGACTATCTGACCATCTACCTCCCCCAAGGGAGCAGCCTGTCTGCAGTGAATCAACATACAGCAAGTCAGAGCTGGGAGGTGGAGAAAGATTAATTGCTCACACTATTGATGGACTTCACAAACCTGAAGCCAGACCCCCTACCTCTCCATCCCAGGGACTTTTTCAGTTACATGAGGCTGTAAATCCCCTTTTTTGCTTAAGCCAGACAGTTAGGCTTCTGTCATTCAGGGCCCTCACTAGTTCAAGAGGTGGCCAGTTCTACTGTTAGGTAGGGTTTAAGGTGAGAATTTCCCTTCTCAAACTAAGCTGAAATCTGTATCCTTGTTTTGGACCTTCTTCTGCCCTTTGAGGTAACGACATGTAAGTGTTACTGGACAGGAGTCTTAGACTGACTTCTCAGTGAATCAGAATTCACACTCAGGCTGGGCGAGTGACTCAAGTGGTAGAGCATCTGCCTAGCAAATGTGAGACCCTGAGTTTTCAAGCCCCAGTACTGCCAAAATAAAAACTATTATTATTATTATTAGAATCCACACTCTATGCACTGTTATTCAACCAGCCAACATCTATCTCGCTATACTATCTGAGGAGAGGCCATTTGCAAAGAAGCATTTCTTTGTAATTAGTTTTTAAAAATTCCATAATTACTAAATTGCTCCTGCCCCATCCCTATTTGGAGAAGAAAATGGGTAAATGCCGTTGTGTAATGCATTGTTCATTTCCTTCTTTGAAATAGCGGCCATTGCTGGCAATCTTTGTAATCACCACACACTGTGGAACCAGAACAGAAAGGTGGGTCCCTGCTTGGCACTGGCTCAGGGGGCAGCAGAAGAAGCTGGCCACTTCAGTCTCTTCTACCCATGTTACCCCTCTCTTGGTTGGATCTCCATGGCAGAAGTCAAAAGTCAAGGTGCTTAAACAGAAAAATTCTTTAAAATATAATTCTTATTCTGATCTTATAAGTAATATGCATATTACTTAATATTGGAAAAAATTAAGAAGACAGATTTTTTTTTTTGAAGTGGAAATTTTGCTGTGTTGCCCAGGCTGACCCCACAAAAAACAAGAGACCCTATCTGAAAAATAGCTAAAGGAAAAAATAGCTGGAGTGTGGCTCAAGTGCTGGAGTATCTGCCTACCAAGCACAGGTTCTGGTTCAAACTGCAGTACCACCCCAAAAATACGTATATGTATATATAAAATGTATTATATATAACCTCAATATCGTCAAAAAATGGAGGGGTGTATAAAGAAAGTTGAAAGGAAATGCACTAGAATGTCTCTGAGCATAAAAAGTGTGATTTTAAAAACTAATTTTCTATAGCCAGGTGTGGTGGCATGTGCTTATAGTCCCAGCTACCTAGGAGGTTGAGGCAGGAGGATCACTTGAGCCCATACGTATAACAATACTTATATTTTATATGAAAACACAGCATTTAAAATAGTCTGATAGACTATTTAAATTTATCTTAGGTTTTCTCTTCTTGTGGAGCATCAAGACTATTTGCATTGTTCCCAATAGAACTTTCTACAAAGATGGGAGTATTTATTTCTGTGCCATTTAACATGATAGCTACTAGCTACATGTGACAATGGAGCACTTGATGGGACTGGGGCTGTGGCTCAAGTGGCAGAGCACCTGCTTAGCAAGTGTGAGGCCCTGAGTTCAAATCCCAGAACCACAATAAAAAAATTAAAAAAAAAAAAAGAGCACTTGAAATTTTCCTAGTGTAACTGAGAAATTCAGTTTTAAATTTTATTTCATTTTAATTGCTTTTTATTTAAATATAGCAACTGTGGTTAGTGTCTACCATATTGGATATTCGGCTATGGAAGTAGTGGGGCTGGACACAATGGCTCAAGTCTATAATCTAGCTACTCAGGAGGTGATCAGGAATTGCCATTCCCATTCAAAGTATTTGAGAGACCCCATCTCAATTAATAAAAGCTGGGCACAGTGGTGTGTGCCTGTCATCCCAGCTACTCAGGAAGCATAAATAGGAGGATCAAGGTCCAGGATGGCCTGGGCAAAAAACAAGACACTCTCTCAAAACTCACCAAAGGAAGAAGGAATGGCTCAAGTGGTAAAGTGCCTACCCACCAAGCACAAGGCCCTGAGTTCAAACCCTAGTAACACTAAAAAAACCCAAAAACACCGGGAGCACCTGCACATAAGCCTTGTGGCATCTGTTGTGCATTTCCACAGGACCAATGACTAAATTCATAATTCCCAAATCACAGAATGCTGATATCAGACAGTCAATTGTCCCGAGCAATGTTTGCTCTACTGTGAGAGGAAGAGAGTAGGTTATGTACTGTGTCTCATATGAATCACTTTTTGTAAAATTAAGATTCACTTTCTTTTGTATTGAATGATTTTTAAAACAAATATGCTATTTTTATAATCAGAACAAAACCAGTAACTATTTTTATGAAGAAAAAAACTGCAGAATGATTCTGGATTAGTTCATCCTATGAGTTTTCTCTTCTGTTTCTCCTTCCCCCAACAGAGTAAGGAGCCATGAGGTCATCTTGCCCAAAGTACACTGGGGACAAAAGATATTCATCCATTAAAAGTCTAGCAGGAGGGCTAGGGCAGGGGTGTGACCAGCATGCACAAGGCCCAACACTGAAGAGAAAGCAAAAGCGTGTGGAGGAGTGGCTCACGTGGTACAGTGCTTACCTAGAAAGCGTGAGGCTCTGAGTTCAAACTCCAATGCCACCAAAAAAACCAGAGAAAACAAAAACTCCTCTGAACAGCCAAGCAGGAAAACAAAAAAACCCTTTTAAAAACCAAACAAAATTGAACATTTGCACTGTGCAAAGGAGAAATGTCTGGTGCAATTGAGAAACTAGATTTTTAAGTTTAATTTTAATTAATTTTTAGAAAACAACCTACATGCAGAATCAAAGATTGCCTAAATTTATCTATAAAGTTCAAGAAATCAGCATCATTTTTCTATGAAGAGCCAAATAGTAAATATTTTAGGCTTTACAGGCCACATAGTCTGTTATGACTACTCAACTCTGCTGTTATAGCAGGAAAATAGCCATGGATAGCACTAAAACAAGTGAACGAGGCTGTATTCCAATAAAACTTTATTGGAAACTTGAATTTTATATACACAATTTTTGTGTCAAAAAATGCTATTCTTTTCAAAATTTTTTTCCCAGGTATACATGTGAAAGCCACTATTAGCTTGTGTGTTATATAAAAACAGATGTTGGGGCAGATTTGTTTCATGGGCAGTAGTTACCCAGCCCTTGTTATAGGTAACAGAGACCTTTATTTTATGGATGTAGAAAGTGAGACCAAGCAAGGCATAGTTTCTGGCCCAACATGGCAGAGCTGGTACCAGGAGTCAGGACTCCTGACGCCCCATCCAGTGTCTGTCCTCCCTGCCACATGGTCCTCAGAGAGGAAAATCAAGATCCTTAGTCTCAACCTTACAAACACAAGTGAACAGAGTTATTGACTTAAACTGCGATAAAATTGTCTCTGGAGATTATTAGACGATGCTACTAAAATTAAATATAATAAATGTGGAAGATTTTTATTCAAGTTGTACATATAAAGAGTTGAAAATTTCTAGTTAATTTTGTTTGTATGTATCACCAAGCTGGGCAATTCTGACTACCTAGGTGATCTGGACCATTTTGGTACAAATCATCAAATTAATGAGGTAATGACTGCCAAACTCCTAATTTACACTGAACAATGAAAACCACCTCAGTGAAAACAAAGCAGATAGGACTCTTACCAAGGTACGAAACACCTTCTTCTGGAGAGACCGTGCCATACTTCACCATCATCTTCACAAAGTCAATCAGAGTTTTCATGATAGTAATCAGGGTTTCCTTCTCCTTCGCTTCTTTTTCTACATAAAAGGACAAAATAATTTAAAGAAAACTTGTGGAAAACAGCCTCATCATTCAATTCCAATTTATGAAGTATAGCATCTTACTGAAATATTTCTGCCTACACTTATAGCTAAAAACTACATATATTTAACTTAAATGGGCCAACCATAATTTCCATTGAGCTTTACATTAATCTAAAATATCGTACTAATAGAGTAGATGGTAAAGAGACATTTTCACCCTTGATAACAGGACCCAAAAGGAAGGGTAGAAGCTTGGTGGCCTGACTCAAGTGGTAAGTTTTTGAGGATAAGAACAATCTGTATTCATTAATTAAACTTAATTTTCTTTATTGAAGCATACCTGTCTTTTACTTTTAAAAAGGCAAGTTTTTAAATTTTATTTTTATTTTTGCAGTACTGGAGATCAAACTCAGGGCCTTGCACATGCTAAGAGAGTGCTCTACCATGTACTACATTCCCAGTTCTAAAATGCAAGCTTGATTTTTCTAACAGAAGTACATACTGCTTTTTAACTATTATTTCATTTAAGGGGTTACATGTATATAGTAAAAATATTTCAATAATCCAGGAATGAAAGTGAAAAGTAACACACTCTTCCTCACCCCCCTCCACCCCGAGCTAGCTACTATTAACGGTTTCTAGGGAACCCTTTGTATTTGACACAGTTGTTCTGCATCTCAGTGGGACAAGGTGGCTAACGATGCCATAAGTGGCTCAGTAAGTATATCAATTCTAATATCAGAAAAAAAATCTGTTTCCATTTTTGAAAAGAAGAAAGCAAACTGAGATGCTATATGGGAGCCCAGTTTTCCTATTCTTTCAGCTGCCATGAAAGATTTTCCCCAAATGCTCTTAGCCTAACCTCCATCCTCCCCACAGGGCTGACTGTTAGGTAACAACAGCGATTCATCTGTATCTCTCAACTGATGGAGACATGGAACCTTTATTTTTTTCCCACTCACCTGGAACAGTGGAGGACAAGGATCTGAGAATATAACCACCTTACAAACTCAAATCTTCCCTCTAAGAGCCATACTGGGAGATAGGTAGTGAGCGAGCCCATTGTTGGCTCTCACACTAAGCCACATTCTACAACTCAGTGCTTTATTTTTTTTTTCAAATTTATTTTTAAAATCTGACAGACAAAATTATATGTATTTACCATGAACAAAAATCATCATGATGTGTTGAAGCATATATACATCCTGGCCTGGTTAAACCTAGCTGGTTAACATATATGCATCACCTTGCAGTCATCACTTCTGTGGTGACAGCACTTCACATCCACTCTCTTAGCATTCTCAAGCATGGAGCATTTGGGAGTGAGGATAGGGGATGTTAGTCAAATGATAAAAAAAAAAAGTATTTGCAACCCAGTGTTTATCAGAAACAGAAATGAGATGCTGGGATTTTGGGGTTTTTTTGGCAGTACTGGAGTTTGAACTCAGGACCTCAAGCTTGCTAGGTGGGTGCTCCACCATTGAGCCACACCCCTAGGCTGTGATATTTTAAGTTTTCTATGTGCTTTTTATTTCTCAATTGGTTCAGATTGAGTGAGGAAGACAGGTGTTAACAAAGACCTTAGTATAAGCAGTTAAATTAAAATTCTAGAAAAATGAGATATCAGGTGAAGAAAACTGAAAGATAAAAGCAAATAAAGAATACTCCATAAAGGCGATTTTAAATGTACCATAAAAGTCACAGGTTGGGAAGGAGGACAAATGGAAGAAGAAGTGAGGAAAAGATCTCAGGAAAGAATTGGTAATAACCCCAGCCATCACATTTATTTGTTGAAGGTCACATCTGTGACCTTGCTGATGCTCTTCACTGATGAGAAATGACTCAACAGGATGACAGAGGCTCTGAGCTGGGCATCTGCCAACCATGGGGTAAGGTGGCTGAGAACAGACCCTCTGGACATAAACCCTGCAGGACCAGCAGAGGGACAGTGCCACCTGGCCAATGTCTGAGACTGAAGGACAAAAGGATGTTCTGCAGGACTGCAAGTTCCCCGAGTTACTTATGGAGGACACATCACAGTTCCAGAAATCTTTATAGGAATGTTCTTTGAACAAGGAAAGGAAAAGCCATGAAGACAGTGCAGGGGTGTCTGTCTGAACAGTAACGAGAAACACTGGCTGTTATTATCTTTGTTGCAGATTAACCAAAAATAAACATGAACTGAAATCCTCCAGTTGACTCAGTGCACATGTGACAGAAGAGATAAGGACACATTAACGTCCAGGTTTAAAACACAGAACCAAATCATTTGTCAAATGCGTTTTAGGCTCCTGGCTTTCTTTCACCCAGGGTCCATTTTAACTCATTGGAAGGTTGAAACTGAAAATTCCTATAAAGTAATGTCTTGAATAAGCTGAAGAGGATGGATGAGCTCCTACACACTGTTCCGACTAGGAGAGAAAATGAAGAAAGCTTTTGAAAAAAATTTACTGAAAAATGGCAGGATTTCCTAGTTAGTGAGCTGGTTTTCTTTTTGGACTATGTGAATAAACTTAGAAAATATGCTAAGTGAATAAGTGAGGCACAGAGACAAATCACTTACACAGTTGGCCCTCTAACTCTGTGGCTTCCATATCCATGGATTCAACTAAGAGGATCAAAAATATTCAAGAAAAAAACTACATCTTTACTGAACATGTATGGACTTTTCCCCCTTGCTATTATCCCTCAAACTATACAGTAAAATAGTTACTACTTTGTATTAACTATCATAAGCAATCTAGAGATAAGTAAACTATCTAGGAGGTTGTCCATGGGTCATATAAAAATATTGTACCATTTTATACAAGCGCCTGTGGATTTTGGTATCTGAGGGGGGTCTTGGAACCAGTCACTTGGGGATACTGAGAGATGAATGTATATGGACTCTAAAATAGTCCAACTCATAAAAGCAGAGAGTACAATGGTGGTGCCAAGGGCTGGGTGACAGGGAAAACCGGGGAGATGCTGGTCAAAGGGTATAAAATGTCATTCAAAGGTTAATCCAACAAGATGAATAAATTTGCCAGGTGCTGGTGGCTCGCACCTGTAACCCCAGCTACTTGGAAGACTGAGATTGGGAGGATCGCTGTTCAAGGCCAGCACAGGCTAATAGTTTGAGAGGCCTCATCTCCAAAATGGCCAGAGCAAAATGGACTGAGGGTGCGGCTCAAATGGTAGAGCACCTACTTTGTAAGCTCAAAGCTGAGTCCAAACTCCAGTCCCACAAAAAAAAAAGAAAAAAGAAAAAAAAAGAGTAAATTTGAAGGATATACAGCATGGTGACTATAGTTAACAACACTGGACTGCATACTTGAAATTTGCTAAGAGGAGAGATTTTTAAAATTTCACAGCAACAAAAATGCAGAGAAAAAAGGAGGAAAAAGAAAATGGTAGCTATGTGAGGTGATGGATATGCTAATTAGCCTATTAGTGATGATCATTTCATTGTATGCATATATGAAAACATCAAGTTGTACACCTTAAATATGTACAATCTTTGTCAGTTATACTTCAATAAAGCTGAAACAAGGTGTGAAAAAAACACCGAGAACAGAAGATTTGCAATGCGTGAGGCTGGTCGAGCGTGGTGGTTCCTGCCTATAATTCCAGTCATTCAAGGTTCGAGGCAGCCTGGGCAAAAAGCAAGTGGGACATCCCCCTTCTCAAACAAGAAGCTGGTTGTGCACTCTTGGGGATATACCCAAAAGAATGTGACACAGGTTACTCCAGAGTCACCTGCACACCCATGTTTATTGCGGCACTATTCACAATAGCCAAGTTATGGAAACAGCCAAGATCCCCACTACTGACGAATGGATCAAGAAAATGTGGTATCTATACACAATGGAATTCTATGCAGCCGTGAAGAAGAATGAAATGTTATCATTCGCTGGTAAATGGATGGAATTGGAGAAC